GATAATTTAATATTGTGATAAAATTGTAAGCAAGGAAATCCATTTACCTCTCTGGAAATGACTTGCTTCCTGTTATTTTGTGGATAGCATTTGGAAAATGATGAGAAACTAATTTTAGAAAGCACTTAAACAATGAAGGCAGCATCAGTGAGAGATGATCCTACAGGGATTACCAGTAGTTACACTACAGACTACCATGATTCTGCACTGCAGCTGTCAAGGTCGGAAAAACAAAATACTTATATTCCTCATTTTTAAGGTCCTCATTTGAAAATGCATAATAGCAAGTGCTGGTATAGAAAACAAAATGAACATAATTTATCATTATTCTGTTCATAGGTATAAATCAAATAAGTATTTAATAAATGGAATGATGTTGCAGCAGAAAGAGAAGTCTTAATAAATCAACTCTCTGAGCCTCAGTTTTCCTATCTTTAAAATGAAAGCAACAGGCCCTGGCCAGTTTGGCTCAGCGGTTAGAGTGTCGGTCGGCCCATAGACCAGAGAGTACTGGGTTTAGTTCCTGCTAAGGGCAGTACCTCGCATGCAGTTTGTCCCCAGCCCTGGTTGGGGTTGTGTGGGTGGGCAACCACTTGATGTGTCTCTCTCATGTCGATGTTTCTCTCTCTTTCTCTCTCTTCCTCCCTCCCTCCCGCTCTATCTCAAGATAAATGCAAAAAAAAAAAAAAATGTCCTCGAGTAAGGATAAAAAAATAAATTTTTGCTTTATTAGGAGAAACACATGGCATAATACATGATTATCATGTGCTATTAAAGAGAGTCATAATGAGATCTATATGCATCTTTCCAACAAGATAAATTTGAACAGTTAAATAAATTGATTGCCTAATGTATGTTTAATCTCTAATATCAACATCAGAGATCAGAGAGTCCTACTCACAGAATCAGCTTCAAATGAAGTAATGGAGTTTGGATTGTATATCTCATCACAGAAAGTAATCTCTAAGCTACAGAAGGTAATGCTCATTGGTAAATATGGAGGAAATACTGAAGTTGGAAAACCATTATTTTGCGATTATAATAGTGAAGGTTAGATCAGGCAAGAATCATGATGAATGAGAGTTAAGCCCAGGGGGAAATTTTAATGAGAAGAAGATTGTCATGATTTAAAATGTCTCCTTTGTTAGTTTCAAATGGAAAATGAGCAGTAGTATAGTAGACAAATTGGACAAAACCTAGAATAGGTGCATCAAAATTGCTACTGCTAATGACGGGCAAATGGACATGTGTCCCCAGATATGGGATCCTGAGGAGATAGGATGACCTGTGTAGTATTTCAACTAAGAATGCACAACCTTAATCTAATTATGATGAGACATCAGAACATCAGGTAAATATAAAATGAGGGAGAAGCATTTTTAAAAAATCTGTATTATAAGAGAGAAAGAGAACAAATGAAGTAAAATCTTAAGATACGTGCATCTACATAAAAAATTATAGGGTAGCCCTGGCCGGTTTGGCTCAGCGGTTAGAGCATCGGCCTGCGGTCCGGAGAGACCTGGGTTCGGTTCCCGCTAAGGGCAGTTTGTCCCTGGCCCTGGTCGGTCGTGCGGTGGCAGCCACTCGATGTGTCCATTCACGTCGATGTTTCTCTCTCTCTGTCTCTTCCTCTCTCTCCCTCCCACTCTATCTGTACAAAAAATGGAAAAAATATCCTCGGGTGAGGATAAAAAAATAAAAATAAAAAAAAATTATAGGATATTCTTTGTACTATTTTATTCTTATAGCTTTTCTGAATATTTGAAATTATTCCCAAAAAGATTCTTTAAAGTAACACATGAATATATGCTCTTTGAAGAAACAAAAATCAAACAACATTGAAGGGTAGAGAAAGAAAAGTGAAAATAAAAATGAACCCTTAACCTCCAAGCTCACATTTTCCCTACTAGAAACTAAGCTTCACAAAGTCAGAATATTTTTCTTTTTTGTTTTGTCCCCAAGCAACTAGGCCAGTACCTAGCACTGAATAGCTGCAATATAAATAGCTGCTACTTCATCAATTTATTGGATAAATAAATGAATGAATAAAAAAAGCAGTTTATACTTCGCTGCTTTTACTTTATCTAGACATCTGTATATTAAAGGTTTTTTTGTTTTGTTTTGTTTTAAGTAAATGAGGTCACACTACCAAACAAATCTCAAGATGACGGACTCAGGACTTACAGGGAATTATCATTTATAATTATCATTAATATTACCCCTAAAACTTGCTTCTCTATTATTATTACCATGTCTCCCTTTTTTACCCTCAAAACACAATAGCTAAATCTTGTTGATAACACCATTCAAAGCCTCATGAACAATGTATTCCTCTCTACCTCTCTTGCTATCACTCCAGTATGGGCCACTCTATGTACCTGCACCATCTAACTAGTCTTCTTCCCAGTCACCTTAATTACTTATCTTACTCTTCTGCAATCCATGGCAAAATAAACTTTGGAATACACCTTTGATTGTGCTTGTCCTGTCTTAAAATTTTCCAAGTGGCTTTTCATAACCTATAATTTCCCACTGATTAATAGGAATCACAACCTGCCTTATGATTCTTTGTTCTATATTACCCATCACTGTTCTTTTCCATTCAAAGCTCAAAAATAAATTATTCATTCACTCACTCATTTATTCATTCCCACACATGATAATATAGCATCTATTTAACTTCTTTTAGTCCCCTAAATATTCTATACTCTTTTGCCTCTGGTACTTTGTGCCTGTTGTTCTCTTTCCAACATCTACTCCATATCTATTTTTCATTTCCACTAGTTTTTCAGGTCTCAATGTATATATCATTTCCAAGAGACTTTTCTGGACTATTAGTTTTTGGTTAAATTTCCTATACCCTTGTGTTAAGTCCTTATACCACACTACATTTATTCTTTCTCCATATATGTAACTCTGATTAATGTCCAGCTCCCTAATGGAGTACAAGACTCATAAAGAGTAGGGTATAAGAGAGGGACAAAATTAGAAAAAGGTCTGCAATGAGGCAGGATGCAGAATAGAAGATAGCTATAGGTAATTATATTTCGTGGAAACTGTACCCTTCTTTATGACCCTCCCCTCCTCATCTCTTCTAGGCCACCTTCCCCACTACTTCAAGAGGTATTTTTTTTTCTTTACTGATTTTTAGAGAGAGAGGAAGGGAGAGGGAGAAAGAGATAGAAACATCAATGAGAGAGAACATGGATTGGCCGCCTCCTGCATGCCCCTCACTGGGGATTTGGCCCACAACAAGGCAAAAGGTATTATTCTACAGCACAAATCTGATAACCTGATTACATACACTGCAGACAAACAGCATCAACAGTTCTCCAACGACAGCAAGGTAACACCAAATTTCTCAGCTGATTACAAAACTGCATCTTTCCCTCAAAAGAACTTGCACATCCATTCATGTGTCCTTCACAGCTGGTCCTCCCAATCTTGCATGTAGAAATACACGTGCACACACAACAGGCTGCATTCTTGGCATTTTCTGCTACAGTCCCTGAACAAACTACCATCTTTTACAACTAATACATTTAGGTAGTTTCTTCTGCCTACAACAAACTTTGTCTTTAGTCAAGCCTACTTGAAATATATTAGCCAGGGTTCAAATTCAGTTTCTCTTTGGAAACAACTCTGACTTCCTAAGTTAACAACTTCCTTTTTGGTCTTCCCTTTCTGTGCATGTACAGAAGAGGTGCCTCATATGTACTTATTGTTAAAGAATATTGCAAATACTATACTTTTTAAATACTGTAAAAACTTTGCAGAAAATTAACACAAAATAATAATACATTTAATTGAGACTCCACCACCATCCTATCAATGAGCACCTTCTGTAGGGGAGTCCAAAATGACAGAAATGACGTGCCATCCCTCAGTCAGTCTCTGTTTCCAATTGTGTTTCACATTATTCTTACTGTGATTTCTAATGTATAAAGACGAGTCTCTATTACACACAGTAGCTCCTACATGCATGCCAGCCACTTTATCTGGTTCACACTAAAGAAGCAGTCAACCACTAGCAATATTAGACTTCATGGGAATTGTATACGTTATGGACAATTAAAGGGCTTTTCAGAATGTATATTCAAATATTCTAAAATGTTGATGGAATGCATTTTATTCATGTTAGTTTTCACTAAGAGACTGAGTCCCTAATGAACAGATGCAGTTGTTCTGTTTATGTTTATACATCCAGTCTCTAATACTATTCCAACTGTACAACTGGCATTTCATGAAAGTATTTTCATTAAATGAATGAATTACCAGCAACTAAAAGCTCACATAGATATAATTTAATAGACACACTTTTGATGAGTCCTTATTTTAAAATCCCAGATTTTTGTACTATGCATTTGTACCTGATTCTGGGCTCTAGTTTTCCTTCATTTAAATGATTCCCTTTCTATCCAAATGTTCTTCCCTATTGAGTAAAATCTTTATTGCCTCCTTCCCTCACTCATTTTATACTGAAAGAAATTCTATAGACATATAATTGTACTTATCTAAACCTCTTAGGAAAGATCTTAACACTCAGTGAGGCTATATCTGAGAAAAGATAACAGCTATACAACCAAACCACAGACCATTAGTCCCACAGTTTTGCCAGGAAGCACTATTTGCAAACAGAGTAACCCAGATTAACACCAGAATATCTCAGAATGCAATAATAAAATCAACTTTACTCACCCCCTCCTACCCCCACAACAGAGTTAATACATAGTCCCAGTATGCAGCAGTTAAAAGGACAAATCTCTGCAAGATCTACAATAAAGATTTCTTTTGGCGATAGTGTTCTATTGTTTATGTTTATTTTAGTAAAACAATGTGCATGTGAGCTACTGACTGGATAGCACAAAGAACTTCATTAAACAGAACTGAATGAACTCTGTTAGAATAAAAACTATTAAATGAAATTCTACTTTATTTTTCCAATTTACTTGTCCAGGACTTGCTTCCTGATTCACGGAATTAAACTGCTCAACACTTACCTTCGAGGATGATTGGCATCAAACAACGTGTTATCATCATCCTCATCATCCTGTTCCAAAGGTGTCAGTTCCATGTTTTCTATGTTAGTATCCAAAACTCCGTATCTCCTAGTCTTTCGGTTTCTTCTTCTCATCCTATTAAATAGAATATATTAATAAAGAAAAATTATTTTATATTTATATGTAAATTAAAAATAAAGCATCCCCTCTATTTCTGGCACAGGAAACACAATATCAGAATGACTACATTTCAGAAATGCAGTTTAGGTTCTTCATAAAACATGTTTGTGTGCCATCCCTGTTTTTTCTGACATCCCTTCATCTCCCTCTGATAAAATATGGTGTTGATAGATACTCCTTTAAGCCTCAGTTCAGGTACCATATTTTTACTGAAGCCTTCTAGTCCAACTTATCCCCACCTCATCCATTCATTCCTAGGCACCATTCAGGATTATATATTTTCAGCCCCACTAAGGAATGGTATGTATAAACATACTCAAATTCTAGACTGGGTAGCTTCCAAACCTGGATGCACATCAGAACCACCTGGGGTCTTTCAAAAGCTCCATATTCAGGCCATACCTCCACACAATTAAGTCAGTTTCTAAGTATAGGAACTAAACATCAATATTTAGTTAAAGTTTTGCAAGTGATTCCAAAGTACTAAAAACCACCATCCTAGATCACTGGTCCTTGAAATGTAGATCCCAGGATCAGCAGAATCACAAACATTTAGAACTTACTAAAATGCATATCCCCATGCCCATCCATACCTAGTAAATAAGAAACTGAACGTGGGGGCCCGAACACACATTTTAACAAACACTCCATATGAGTTTGATGCCTAAAAAGTTTGAGAACTGCTGCCCTAAAATAATTAAAATATTTAGGAGGCTAAACACTAATTATCTGTATATATGAAAGGGCCTCATAAATTAGAACCCTATTCTCTGCTTCTTTCAAATAACTTGTTCTTTTCCTTCAAATTATTTACATCAATTTGCATTTATATGTGCTTATGTAAATGACTATTTACCTGTCTTTCCCACTGAATTCCATGAGGGCAGCAACCTTGACTGTCTTGTTCACCAATGCATTACTACTTTGTAGGACAGTGTGATTGATTAAGACACTCTTTAAGTATTTGTTGAGTGTCTAAGTGATATCATATCTGACCCTCCAATCGATGCCTAAGTCATTTTTTATGCAACAACCTTAACTCCACACATAGGAAAATGGATCACACAAGTATCTATGGCAGTTTAAAAACAAAAAAGAAGCTACTTCAGCAAGTAATGACAAATAAGTTTACTTAAATTCTGATTCACTTTGCTGGCTGCAATTAAACATAAGAAATACTAAAAGTATAGCATCAACTGTAAAAAACAATATAAGCCTCTGAAAGCATGACAGTGGGTTCCTCTGAGAGCCAAACTGTCAGGTCTGTGTATAAACACATACACACACACACACACACACACACACACACACACACATATACACACAAGAAATATTAGAGTCTTACTCAGTATCAGGCATTGTGTTAGCTTCTGGGTAGAAAGTACCTGGTCTCAGTGATACAAATTTCAAGAATATGATTAAGCTTGGACAAAAATCAAGATAATTTCCACTAATCACTGCCTATAGATCTATCCTTATACCCACGCAAAGGTGCTGGAACAGAAAACAGAGGTTTAAGAATAGTACAGTATTTAAAGCTAAAAATGTAACCAAAGAAAGAGTTAATACTAATACAAGAACTAGCAATATGAGGTAGATCGGTGATAGTATAAGTTAGTTTTTCTTATATAGTGAAACAATTAAATATGTTTAAGTTATTAAATTAACAAGTATGTTTATAGCGAAAATGTTTGTACGTGTGTGTGGGTGTGTATGCACACACAGACATACACACACATGCTCACACGCATGCCATGTATACCAGAGGTCTAAAGTTTTTCTGTAAAGGATTAAATAGTAAATATTTTAGACTCTGTAGATCATATACAGTCTCTCTCACATATTCACCTTGCCTTGTTTAAATTTTTAACAATCTTTTAAAAATGTAAAACATTCTTGGCTCATAGGCCTTAAAAAAATGTCAGCAGACTGAATTTGCCTTATGGATCCTACTTTGCCAACCTCTGACTAGATTGATTGTGTAATTTACAGAAAAACTATGCATAGAAATGATAAAATTACTAACTCTAGAAGCAGAAATAAAAAAGTACAGGGTGTTTTATAGTTCATCATTGGTCCTTAGAACCACATGATTTAATAACATTTACATATATTCCTTTGACTTGAAAAAGTTAAGGAAACCACCAGCCAGCAAACATTAAGGCTATTCAATTATAACTTCTCCTCTTCCCTTTGGCCATCTGTTGCTCAATTTTCTAAACCACGTGGCTTTCTAAACATTCATCTTCAGTGAACAACAACATTAATGTATTGGGAAATTATTTTTACAAATAAACCAGATTCTCCATATTATATATCAAATAGTCAATATGTTAATAACCTTGTCATTGTTGGTCATAGGACACCTTCGCTACTCTTGAAAAAGAGACTAGAATGAACATAGATCTTAAGGACCCATGAAATTTATCTCAGCTGCCACTCTTTTCCACTCTCCAGGTCTTCGTCATACCTTGAATGAATTCCATCTTTCAATGTGTGGCTAAAGAAATCTGCCTAGCACCCTATTTTCTCTATCTCTGTTATGTCCAGTGTAAACATTTGACTGGACTTCGTGAGTACTTCATTATTTGTGCTAACTTGTACTGTCCTTTAATCATGTATATAAATATCATCCAAATATAAACCTAATCACCTGAAAAACAAGAAATCATTTCATATACATATAGTGAGTGCATTGTTATGCACCAAATAAATGAGGGAATGCAGATCAAATTAATTTAGCATTTTAGTAAATGTTCCCAATTCATACAATAAGTCAAATAAAAAACTGTATAGTGTAAAATAGAATGTATTTATTCTTTCCATTTAAAATCAGTTTTATATTTTAATTACAGCTGATGTACATTATTATATTAGTTTCAAGGTGTACACCCCAGTGACTAGACATTATATAACTTACTAAGTGATCATCCCAATAAATCTTGCACCCATCTGATACCATACATATTAGAATATTGTTGACTACATTCCCTATGCTGTACTTTATATCCCCACAGAATTTATACTTGAAATGAATGTTCCTAAAAATGTGTTTCCTAGATCCAAACCTATAGGCAGTGATGGCTATGTGGTTGTGACACCTACACTCTGCCATGGAAACATCAAATTAATATATACATATGTACCCATATGCATTTGTTTTTCTCAGGGAAGGTCAAAAACACCTGTAAAACTATAAAATTACTGGGCTGATTCAATGAACCATTTACTTAAAATAATAACAAATATGCGTAAAATATAATACGCATAAAATATACTAAAATTTTAAGTAAATAGGCTACTTTTACCTTTTAATATGCAATGTACATCATTCTTTAAGAGGTCCATTTTTATTTTTAAACAAATATTCAGAGAATGATACTTTTACTGCCCTTTGTACACCAATTGTTCAAGAAAAAAATAGGAATACCAAAATTAGGCAAAGAGGTAGAAGCCTTAGAGTTTGCCCTAATTTTTTTTTTAAACTTTTCAATTACAGTTAATATTCAATATTATTTTATATTAGTTTCAGTTGTACAGCATAATAATCAGACAATGACATAATTTATGAAATGATTCTCCCCCAATAATTCTAATACTGGCCTGGCACCATACATAGTTATTACAATAAAATTTATTATATTCCCTATGCTGTATTTTACAACCCTGTGACTATTTTGTAACTACCAATTTGTACTTCTTAATCCTTTCACCTTTCACCCAGCTCCCTAACCTCGCTCCCACCTGGCAACCATCAGTTTAAACGTTCTCTGTATCACTAAGTCTGTTTCTGTTTTATTTTTGTCATTTTTAATCGAAAGAGTAAAGGCTTTAAATTCATGCAATTTTAACAACTATGGTTCTTTTCCTACAAAGAAATGTTTCCATTAAGCTCACAATACACAAACTTATCTATGTGTATTATCAATCACATATGTATAATTTATAGTCACGCACACTTGTCTACTAGACATAGTAAATGCATATTGCAATCTAAAAACAAATTTTGTTGGCTCTTGGTTAACAAAAAAATAGGGACTTTATTTATAAAGTGAATAGAGAGGGAAATATAGAGGCCTAAAGGACAAAAGAAAATAGCTACCTGGTTTATTATACTGAATTATACTCACTCACCACATGTCATGCACCAGTAAATTATTTTGATCTGATCCCTTCTAGGTTTCAAGTTCTTATTCAAATAGCTGTCCGATACGGATGCAGATTCCTGTGTTCCACTACACTTTGGTGGTAAGAATTACTTCTGTTTAAATAACATGTAAAAGCTACAGTAGAAAAATAAAACTAAACTACTCAAGTAAGCTTGATAAAATTTTATGTAAAAATGTATGATGCCACATAAAATAAACACAACAGGATAAAATTCCATTTCATTTTACTACTCTGTGAAAGTAAGAAAACCGACCAAGGTATATTGCTGTAACTTGCTGTACCCATCTGACTTTCTTTTTCCTTTTAAATGAATGCCTGTGGGGGTATTATAAACTATAGAATAATATAAAAAATATTATTCCTTAATTTGTTTTATAGTACATTCAAAACTAGAATAAGGAATATTTTACAATATATTTTATACACATATACTACCTCCATGTGCTTAGACGTAACGATAAAGCAGAGTTCATCTTAATAAAGGTATAACTACTTATATGCAATATTTTTTCTTAACTATTTTTTGCAAAGCAGTGAATTAGTAAACAAAAACTTTAGGTAAATTTTAATATATAAATTCAAATAAATTACTTGAAGGAAAGGTACACTTCATTATATTATGCTGGAAATAAGTTGATATATAGATTAAACTGGACTAATTAGACTTTATTTCTTCTTTTATTGAATTCATCGGGGTGACCTTGATTCACAAAACCATACAGGTTTCAAGTATACAACTCAACAAAATATCTGCACACTGATTGTGCGCCCATCACCCAAAGCAA